AATCTTAAACAATGTCTTTACCCGCTTCCGCATATAAATTTTATACCTCCCATCCTGCCTTTACCCGTGTCCCCTCCAAGTAGATTATTGTATACCTGTAGAATATATTGTTTGCAATAAATTAATTCAAATCGCATTACCTTCAAAGCTAGTAAGCGTGAGCATGATGCTTTCATAAATGCTACTTTGGGGAATGAAGCTGTAGAGCGCCTGGTTTCCTTTTGAAGAAATCTGCCTTGTTCTCTTGTAGACTGTAAACTGAGACACACAACAGTGAGACACGAGAATCCAATCTTAATGGGACAAGAAAATCCACAGTGTGCTACCAATCTTCCTGTCACCCGTTGTGCTGAAGGCTGCTCGGCCACTAGTACTACCAAAACCTTAGCTAGCTTCCATTGTGTGCCATCTGGTAAGTTCATGTAATGTTTACTTATTTTGGATATTCTTATAACGTGTAACATAAATCTTAAATAGGGGCAGGCACATTAGATTATTCACTTGAGAGGTGTTTTCTGGGAGTTTTCTGCAATATCTTGGTTTTCAAATACCTTGTTTTTAGAGGGGAGCACCAAAGAATTTGATTTTATTGGGTCGTTCAAAATACTGTAAACATTTTGTTTGCTCAATGGTGGATTTTCCCACTCTTGCTTCTATGTGGAGAAGAAAGAGCCTTAAAAAAGTGTCCTGAACTGTACAAAAGCAGTAAAACCTTAAAAGAATCTTAATATTTTTAAATATTTTGTCTTAATAATTTGTTTAAAGGGGGCTTGACTGTTACCTATTTTCTATTATCATTAAATACATATAGAGATACCTACACTGAAAAATTAACTGCAGCCCAGTCTTAACACATAATTAAGTATTTAGAAATATCTCATATTTACTATGAACAGGCTTGAAGCCTGAATAGGGGAAATACTCTGGTGTTCTAGCTGAGCTCATTATCTTGGAATAAAGGACTGGGTCAAATTAGATTTGACAATTTGCTTGCATAAATTCAGTGAATGTGTGTATCTGAGGAAGCTGAGTTATCCTCTGGAATATGGAAAGTGAGATTGGGGGGAAAAAAATCATCCCATTTCCCTGCTGCAGTACCTTTCTTAACTTTTCCAACACAACAGTGGCTTGAGAAAAGTTATTCTAGGCAAGGCTGGGATAGGCCTTAATGGCACTGAGGGAGTTTTCCTTGGCTTTGCAGAAAAACATTCTTTGTCTTGCGCCATGTTGTTTCTTTTAATGATTTTATTCTTTTTCCTCTTCCTTCAGGATCAACCTTGCCTACTGACCTGACCGTGCTGGCTGAAAAGTCTCAAGATCTGTTAGACTTAGTTGAATCGCACACATCTTGCTCTTGTGAACAGGAAAAATGTACTGCATGAGCCTTCAACTGAGTAGACTCAGTATATATTCTCTTGTTTGCTGTGGGAGCTGATATGTCAATTCTAGGCTACTACAAAGTTGTTAATTAAATTATTTTAAGAACCCTACTGTACCCTCTTAAAGAACCCAATTCTTCCTAAAGTAAATCTAAGCCTTATTCCAATATAACAAAGTCAACTCTAAATGAAACAGATAATTTTGTAATAAACACTTGCATTCCAAAAGAAAAAAAAATGAAGTGGTGGCTTCTTTATTTCATTAGCAAAGTTGAATGAAAGGTTGTGTTTGGCAGAGCAAAAATGATTGGGCATTTGGATAATAGGAAGTGCTTTTTAAAATTACATGTTACTATTAGAATTTTTCATTAGAATTTCCGTTTAAAAAAAATATTTTCCTATTCAGTGAAAAATGTAGATTTCTCACATCATTGAGAAATGCTATATGGTAAACTTCTCACAAGCTACATATGTAATGTATGATTTATGGAGTTAAATTATTTGGAGTAAGATCAGCGGGCTGATCTTATAATTACAGGCATCTGCTAATGCCCATAAATGCTACATAATACAAGTTAATAGATTTTGTTAACTCATCCACATACCCTTGCTAATTAAAAGAAAATATTTGTTGATTTAAAACCCTCTTCCCAATTACCAGAATGTCTTTATTTTGTTTTAAAATCACAGATTGAAAAATCAAGCCATAAGATTGATAAAGTAATGTAATAATATATGCACCTATCCAGAATCAGTATTGTGTATGTGTGCATGTGTGATTATGTTTTCATATACAAATCTGAACATTCAAGAGCCCATATTTGAGCAGGGATGACAATGGCAGTTTCAGAGTAGGGCACAATTTTAATGGAGTAGAAACTAAGCCGGTGACTATTTATTTAATGCANTCCCAGGTCCCATTCCCGGCATCGTTCTTTATCAAGCAAAGTCTGGAGTATATTGAAACCAAATAGATTAGAAGTTACAAAATAATAATAAAAAATATAAAAAAAATAAAGAACAAAAAAGAAAAGAATAATAGAAAGTTATGTTACAAGAACCGTTTTTTAACCAGAAGTGAGGTGAGAAAAGCCAGTGCCCTCCTTTTCCTTCTCCCATTCTCAGTGCCAAAGAACGGAGCGAAGACAAAAATAGACATCATTCAGGCCAGCAGAAAGGCCTGCCCTATAATTGTCTTAGAGTTAGATGGTTCTCCATCGTGGCAACACTTAGCAATGTGGAGTAGGAAGCGACACGAACAGCGGTATAAATAAAATTATCTTGCAATAGCAGGTAAGAAGTACCAGAAATGGGCGGATGATAACAGAGAAATGAACGATCATCTGAGTGAAGTTCCGCAATTTTGCAAGAATAATTTCATCATTCATTGAACAACAACAACAAAAATCCTGTAAGCAAATAAGGAATTGCCAAAGGCGAACAGTGTTATTGCTAACACTGAACGAAGAATGGACTTCCCACTCAACATCCAACTATTTCTTCGATATGGAGATGTAATTAGTTATGCTAATCATAACTGACTTCTACCCGCTTCATGTCTGTCTAAGTCAGATCCTAAATTGCCCAGACATGTGTAGTAGGCATCTACAGACACCGAAATGTGATATTTTAAAAACTGACATTTCTTCTTCACCTCCACCGCCTTCCTTCGTGATTTGTGCCTTCATAATTTACACTTAGGAATCAAGTGGGAGATGCAGATCAGCTGCCACAGAAAGTCTTGATTATCAATTTAAATTCTGGACCATTCTGAGAATTCACCATGATAAAATGCATTTATTTATTAATTGTTTCTTTGTTTCTGTGCAGCTAGCGGACAGAATTAACCCCTTCCCAAGAGTATTGGAAGATTAACACCTTCCAAGAGTATTGCAGTAGAAATAAAATAGGGCAGAATAACGTTTTTTACACGCAGACAACCTTGAATTCTATACGGAACTGAAGGCTAAACTATCGGCCAGCTGATTTTTATAACTTTTATTCACTAATCAGTCAACAGATCTTTTAAGCCTTTTGCAAAAGTAACTTAGAATGAGATTGGAACAGCAGCGTTCCAATATTTGTGGGGCTGCCACGGAGAGGAGGGGGTTCAAGCTATTTTCCAAAGCACCTGAAGGTCAAATAAGGAATAATGGATGGAAACTAACCAAGGGAGAGATTCACCCTAGAAATATGGACTAACTTTCTGACAGTGAGAACAATCAACCAGTGGAACAGAAGTTGCCTTCGGAGGTTGTGAGAGCTTAATCACTTGCGACTTTCAAGAAGAGATTGGACTATCGTTTGTCAGAAATAGTGTAGGATCTCCTGCTTGAGCGGGGGGTGTGTGTGGTGTTATTGGACTAGATGATCTCTAAAGTCACTCCCAATTCATCTGTTAATCGGGCATAATTATTCTACTTTGCATGATCCCTGTGACACTAGTATAACAGAAATGACTTAAAGACGTTACCCTGATTCTGATCTGGTTTAAATAAGAACAACTCTCAAGAACTACTTGTAGTCCAGCGATGACCATCCTTTTGATCTAGAACAACTTTCCTCAACCAAAATATCTTCCAGGTGTATTTCATTCAGCCTGTCAGAACACCATAAAAGTTTAGAAATGTAGGTAGGAAGGGAAAGAGGAAGAGTAGGAGTAAAGGAGAGGTAAGGNAACTCCCAGAATTCCCCAGCCAGCATTCGCTGGCTGGGGAATTCTGGGAGTTGAAGTCCGGGCATCTTCAAGTTGCCAAGGTTGAGAAACACTGATTTAGATATCCAGATTTGATCAGTCTTGTTCCAAATTGGCACTCTATCCTTTTCCTACAGTCTCCTTTGTAGAACGTTGCTGTCCAATGTCATAAACCAGGGGTTTCAAACTGGCAGCCTATCAGCCAGATGAGTCCCACGCAGGCCACGACCAGCCCCCCAACTCCGTGAAGGGGAAAAACATCACAAAACATCATGTGACGGCAACCAGATTCCGCGGGTTTGACACCCGCGTCAAAAAAATGATGGATATGAATTTGAAGATGTATATACCAGTGATGGCAAACCTTTTTGGGGCCAGTGTGCCAAAAGCGGGTGGGGGGAGCGCAAGAGAGGTCGTGCATGGGTGTGCCACATCCATAATGCTATGCGCACGACCGTGGTGTGCATGCACATACAACCACAGTGCGCATGCATGCACGATCACAGTGCTCATGTGTGCACGACCAGTGCTGCCCCCATTTTTGGCATGTTTTTTTCACACTCCCCGGCCTCCAGAGGCTTTATAGAAGTATGGGGAGGGCAAAAACAGCCTCCCCCGAATTCGCCAGGGCTCAATTGTGGTCTTAATTCAAGGACTGCCTGTATATAAATTGTATAAATAGCGCTTTACAGCCCTCTCTTAAGCGATTTACAGAGTCAGCCTATTGCCCCCAGTAATCTGGGTCCTCATTTTACTGACTTTGGAAAGATGGAAGGCTGAGTCAACCTTCCTCAGAATCGAACTCCTGAACTGAGCAGTAAGTTAGCCGGCGGTAGTGCAATTTAACCACTGCGACACCCTGGCTCAGCAAATAAATAACATAAACATAAATAAATAAATAACAGTTGCGTGTGATGCGCTATCATTGGCTGGAATTTTTTTTAAATGGCTTCTTTGATTATCATAAATTTTACCCATCAAAATTTTGGAGATTTGTGTGTGCCTGTTTATCCAGACTGCTGGGAAACACAGACAGTGACCAAAAATGCTGTTTTAACATAAATGCTCCATTGCAGCATCCTAGACTCCTAATTATTTTAATTGTGTTATTTTCTGAAATGCCTATCAAGTGTGAAAAGAAATATTTGTTCACTTCACTGTGGTATAATTACTTGAGTAACAATCTTCATTATGGTCTCAAGAGCAGTCTTTCTACCTATCATAAAATACAGGTACCAATGTCTGAAATTCTGTATTATAATAAGCAATATAATAATATTGTTATTATTAACCAAGGTAAACCTTTTACCAAGTTTGGACTTATTATTATTTTTATGGTATGTTGTCATCTTCACTATCTTGGCTGGCTTCACGCATCACATTGTGCCATGATTTTTAGAGTGGTTTAAACCGGGGTGTCCAACTCGTGTCATCACATGACATATAAGGACTTCTTTTTCTCTTCGACAAGCCGCACAGGTGCGGCGCCAACATGTAAACCATCCAGCCCGCGGGTCGCGAGTTCGACACCCCTGGTTTAAACCAATGTTTCTCAAACTTGTCAACTTCAAGATGTGTCAACTACGACTCCCAGGATTCTCCAGTTGATTGTGGAATTTAGCAATAGCAATAGCAGTTAGACTTATATACCGCTTCCTAGGGCTTTCAGCCCTCTCTAAGCGGTTTACAGAGTCAGCATATCGCCCCCANCCCCCCTAAGACAGCAGGGGCAGGTCGATGGCTGGAGAGAATGAAACAGTGGTCGGCAGGGCCAGCAGTCCCCTCCAAGCAGCAGGCCAAGCCACAGCAGCTCAAACAGACAGAGCAGCGACTGGAGCAGGCGACTGGAGCAGGCGGGACAGCAGCAAGATCGGCAGCTGCCCCAACACAGCAGGGGCGGCTGGAGATAGATGGAGACAGATGGAAACAGCAATGAAACGGTGCCCCCCCCCCTGACACAACAAAGCCAGGTCGGTGCCCAAAACAGCAGTCGCGGCGACAGGAGCCGGTAAGATGGCGACCAGAGCTGGTGGGATAGTTGCAGGATCGGTAGAGTTTTCTGGGAACAGCTCTTCCAGAAGCAATATTTTCCTCCATGAGCTGCCTCACTGAATCCCCCCTATGTTGTTCTTGCATTCCAATCATTCCAGTTCACTCCTCAAACCTTGGCTCCATACCTTTTAAGCGTTTTTTCCTCAGAAAACCCAAGCGATAAAACTCAGGCAGCCATGTTCCTTGCCCATGCGTTTTCCACAGCCGCTGATATTGTCTGCAGTAGCATAGAAGGGTCTTGTAATTTCTTTGTCTGGCCACTCTTGTATCTTGAGAAGAAGGAAAATGCTTTCTTTTATTTCACTGTACTTAAACAAGTCTGAAGGTTGTATTT